TAATAAACATTTATCCGGCGATCAATCCGGCCACTCTGACCGCCTATCAGAGTAATCGGGTGTGCAACGCGTTGGCGCTGTTGCAGTGCGTTGCCAGCCATCCGGAAACCAGATCGGCGTTTTTGCAGGTAATTTTACGCAGTTATTACGTTATAAAAGTTACTACGACGAGTTTCGTTTCAGGCACACGTTCCGCTCTTCCTCTATCCGTTCCTGCACACGGTCAGCAAAACGCGCCCGTTCGAGTATCTCAGGCTAACCAGTTTGGGAGTGATAGGCGCGCTGGTCAAGACCGACGAGCAAGAGGTGATCACGTTTCTGCTCACCACCGAGATCATACCGCTTTGTTTGCGTATCATGGAGAGCGGCTCGGAGCTAAGCAAGACCGTGGCCACGTTTATCTTGCAAAAGATTCTGTTGGACGACAGCGGTCTGTCGTACATATGTCAAACGTACGATCGATTCAGCCACGTAGCGATGATTCTCGGGAAAATGGTGTTGTCGTTGGCCAAGGACCCCTCCGCGAGGTTATTGAAGCACGTGGTCAGATGTTATCTCAGACTTTCGGACAATCCGAGGTAAGTAGTATAGTACCTCGAACAGCGATCGATCTTCGCGACTTGCGATCGGTTTGTAACTCGAAGCTTGTTCACCGCGCAGAGCCTTGCTGGCCCTCAGACAATGTCTGCCCGACCAGCTCAGAGACAACACGTTCGCCACGTGCCTGCAGGAGGACGCGTCTACCAAGCACTGGTTGAATCAGCTGTTGAAGAATTTGGAAACTGGCCCTCAGCCCGGTCCGCCGGCGCAACCGGGGCAACAGGATCCCAGAACCATCGGGATGTCGCCTCTCGCCTCCTAAGTCGACTATCTAAGTCGACTATCTAAGTCGACTATCGTTCTTATTTAAGTCGATACCGTTTCCGTTACTTCGTAATTGTTCCTCGTGTAAAGGTTGCGAATCGAAAGAATCGAAAATACAAATATATCTATGTAAATATATGTATGTATGTATCTATGTTTGTATATATGCGCGTGTACACCTGTACGTATACATATACATATAAGTATTTTGTTACAGATATTTGGTCGTTGCGTTGTCGCGTCGCTCCCTCCTCTCCTGATTTTCCTTGTCGTCGACCCGCGACCGACTCGCGTTCGTAACGAAGCTCGGTCAAACCGCGCTCGTACTCTCCAGCTCCAGGTTTTCCTGCGAATCGCGATACGATACGAGAATACGTATACGAGAACGAGGCTGTTCAGGAGTAAGAACGCGATAGTAAGGTTTACCTCTCGTTTCGCGGTGACGACGCTCGCGTCCCGAAGAAAGCGGCGTACCACGGGTGTGTAGAGTTTTTCGTCGCCCGGCTTGCGCTCGTTCACTCCGGTGATCCAAGAGACGATCAGGCCGACGACGATCGCGGTCAGAAAACCGACCCAGGTGTACCAGAGGTAGGACATTCGATAGAGAAAGAACGGTTGTTCCCTGAAAGCGAAACCGACACCGACACACAATTTTCGGCGACAAAGTTACTTCGAAAGCGCGAATCTCACTTGATAGCGGTTTCGACGACCAGCGTAAGATTGACGGCGTGCTCCTTCAGCGAGTCCGGACATCCGTCGACCGAGACCGGTTTCACCGGAAACACGATCTTCCCGCTGGCGATGGCTGCTTGTGTACCCAACGATATCCAGGCGACGAGATTCAGGCTGACCAGACCGCCGACCAAAGCTCCCTTGTTCCGAACGAACGAACTAGATGAGAGAGGGGGTAACGAGGAAGCACCGGGCGAATACGCGATCGCTTACTGTGGAATTCGCGAGAGGAAAGAACATGCCGAGCGTGAAGATTCCGAGCAGAGGTCCCGCCGTGATGCCCGACAAGCTCTTGCCGGCCTGCGAAATCGAAGAACGCGTGATCCTAGAACGCGGATCGTCTATTCAACGAGACGATACTTGCCTGAATCAATCCGCCGAGTTTCTCCACGAGGAAGACGAGCGTGACGCACGCGATTCCCGTCAACACCACCGTCGCCTTCACCGTTCGGCTGGCAGCCACGTCCGAGAGGGGAACGCGCAACCAAGGCTTTATCATGTCCTCGTAAATCACGCCGGCCATCGAGTTTAGGCCGGTGGACATGGTGCTGCGAAACAGAACGAACGGCGAATCGGTCCGCGGAACGAGACGAGACGATATATTTACCTGAGCGCGGCGCTGAACACTCCGGCGACGAAGAGTCCCGGTAGCCCCGGGATCGACTCGGCCATCTCCATCACGAAGTACGGCAGCAACTGGTCCGGCTTTCGTATTCGCTGAAATCGGACGCGACGTTTTTTTGCGATGCGGAACGCGATGGAAACAGTTGCCGGATCGTATCTCGTTTTACCTTGGTCGTGATGGGATCGCAGTCGTAAAAGGTGGCGAAGATGACGAGACCGGTGTAACAGCTCAACGAGACGATGCTCATTGTACCGATCGCCATTATCGCGATCGTTCTGAAAGGAGAGAAGCGCGTTATATCCGTTTGGGAAGCGCGGATACTCGCGTCGTTACGAATGCGAAACAGGGTGTCGCGTACGCGTTCGCTTTGCTGAGGTTCGGCATCGCCAGGCATCGTTGCACCATCGCTTGATTCACCGAACAGCTGGCCAACCAGTTGAGGTAGTTGCCGATCACCACGGTCCAGAAGGTGTGTCGCACCGTCGGATCCGGGTCCATGCTGTCGATCGGTAAGACGTAGCGAGGATTCAGTCGAGATTCGATTCGAGCCGAGTCGAGCTTTTTAGAGAGTTAAATCTCTTACTCGAAGAATTCGATTCGGTCGGTGTCGCGGTTTCTCTTCCAGACTCGCTCGAACCCTCCAGCCCTCCCGGTGCCGTGTATCGCGACGATGATCACTCCGCCGAACATCAGGATCGTTTGAATGGCGTCGGTCCACACGACCGCTTTCAATCCACCCTGAAACGAACGCGTTCTCCAATTCTCTTCGATAATCGCGAATCGCTTCGTTTCTCCTCACCAAAGTGGTATAAAATATGCACACGGCGCAAACCAATAGGGCGATCGCGTGCAGATTTATCCCCGTGACTTGATTGAACGCCAGCGCGGGTACGTATATCACCAGCGGTATGTAGAGCATCTGCGAACAGCGCGACAACGTTTTGTCGGAGACATCCGGAGAAGACGAGGCGAATCCTAACTGGTGTAACTCACCATTTTAACGAGAAATATCGCGCAACCCATCAGTCGAACGGCGCCGTTGAATCTTAGCTTCAAGTACTGAAATAATGTTTCGTGAGACGTTCAGAGACGTTCAGAGACGTTCAGAGACGTTCAGAGACGTTCAGAGACGGAGCGCGCGGTGGGGCGAGAGAAGGGTAGGAGAGAAGAAGGTTACCTCGTAAGAAGACGTGATACCGAGGCCGTAAAATACCGGTAGATAGACGAGGGCCATCGTCAGGGAGACGAACAAATCGGCGATGACGATGCACCAGAATTGCGTGCCGTAAACGTACATCTCGGCAGGTAATCCGAGAATAGTGATGCCCGATATGTAACTAGAAATGGAAAAGATTCAAAAGACGCGGTAGAGTCGGTAACGACTGCTAACGACGACCGTTATTACCTGGCTATCAGAGACATGCTTATCGGGAAGATGGACATGTTCTGGCCGCCTACCAGATACTCTCGAACCGCGTCGGTGTTTTTCCGCGCTTTGTACGCTTGGTAGACGCCGACGATCGCCGATATCGCCAGCATCCCCGCGAACACGGCACAGTCGATCAGATCGAAGGATTTCTGAGCGGAAGCTGCGGTGCTGCTGTCCATTTCGTGTCCTTTGTCTCTCTCTCTCTCTCTCTATAATCCTCGGCGAAAGAGCTCGAAAACGTAACGTCTCGTGTATCGGAGCGCGCGGAACCGAATACGACCGGGCCGCTTAAACGAACCGACTCGGAGAGACGATTGAATAATTGGAGATTCCGTCGTTATCGTTCCCACTCTGTTTCCTCTCCGCGTTACCTCTCCGTTCGTTCTTTCCTCGCGTTCGAGCCTCGTAACGCGCGTGCGACCCTGCATCGTCGTCGATCGCTCTTCGAAACACGAGAGGACAAGACAATTACATCGGCTCGCTACCGGCGGACGACGCGGCGGCGCGCATTTAGCGAAATTGCCCGGCTCCCTCCGTTGTTTACCCGACCGATTCGTTTACCTTCTTTCGAGCGTCTTTCCTTTCCCGCCTCCGCCTTGTCTCTCGCACCGATCGATTTCCGCTTTTCCGATGCGCTCGAAATGCCGCGAATCGGCCACTCCTTCGCGACGTTCGAGACCGATTCGTCGTCTCGCTACCATGATTCGGACGTATCTGGCGAGTTTGTTGGCGTTCGGTTTGTCCGCGAGAAGACCGAGCGTCGGCGAGGAACGCGGGCTCTGGTACGCGAACGTGACGGGCGACTTCCTGTTGGGCGGCCTGTTTCCCGTGCATCGAAAGGGCATCGGTGGTCAGAGCTGCGGCGAGATTCAGGTGAGCGAACTTAGCCGCTCGTGCCCCCTCGACGTAGCGTAATCTCTTCTCGTCGGCAGATCGAGGACGGAGTTCAACCGTTGGAGGCTATGCTGTACACGGTGGGACGCGTCAACGACGATCCGAGGATTCTTCCGGGCGTGAAACTGGGCGTTCTGGCTTTCGACACGTGCGACAATCCCGGCTACGCGCTCGAAGGAGCTTTCCATTTCGTGAAAGGTAAGAGGGAAAATTTTGATGGGACGATCCGAGGACGGTCGAAGGTGTTTCTCGCAGGTTTCGTGGCTCGTAGCAAGGAATTCGGACAGGGAGAAGCAGGGTATCGATGCGAGGATCGCAGCGCGCCAAAGTATCTGGACGGTGAATTCGATCGGGTGATCGCGATACTCGGTGCTCAGTCGAGTTCGGTTACCATTCAGATCGCCTCGGTGTTGGCTCTGTTCCCGGTGCCGCAGATCTCTTACATGGCTACGTCGCCGTTTCTCAGCAGCAAGGAGAGGTTTCCGCACTTTTTCCGCACGGTACCGAACGACGTGAACCAAGCGCGCGCCATGCTGGAGATTCTCAGGTGAGATTTTGCCGCGTCGGTGCGTAAACCGTCGTTAATCTTTCCGTTTACTAACGTTTAATACGGATAAACTAGGCGATTCGAGTGGTCGTACGTGTCGGTCGTTTACTCGGATTCGGAGTACGGCGACCACGGATACGAGACGCTGGTCTCGTTGGCCGACGAGTACTCGATCTGCTTCAGCGCGCCGCATCGCGTCGTTCAGGATCGGTTCACGACGGAGGATTACGACAACGTGGTTCGCACGATAGCCGAGAAAACGGAAGTTCGAGGTGAGTAGGCGTGTCTCTCGTAGTAGGCATAGGGAAATGGCTCTTTTTACGAATTTCAGTGGTGGTGTTGTTCGCGGAAAAGTCGACGACTTTGCTCGTGCTGGAGGCGGCCAGGAGAGTGGGCGTCGGTTCGCGATTCGTCTGGCTGGGCAGCGATTCCTGGCCGGACGTTCGTCCGAGTTCCGAGACGCGAGAAATCGCTGAATTGGAGGGCGCGCTCGCCGTTCAACCGCTGTACGCTTCACTCTCGGGGTTCGACGAGTACTTTACCGGTTTGAAGCTCGATCACGAACGAACGAACCCTTGGTTCCGCGAGTTTTGGCAAAAGTATCACGACTGCGCGGACGAACGAGTCTCTTGGAAACGGGTGAGCAGAGATCCGAGAGTTCGCTGCGACGATCCGCGACTGAAGATCCAGCGGAGCAACGGCTACAAGCAACATCGGTCGCTGCACTTTGTGCGAGACGCCGTGTACGCCGCGGCGTACGCCCTTCACGAGCTGCACAGGGACGTCTGCGGCGAGGGTTATCGAGGTGTCTGCGAGGAAATGTTGCCGCTGAACGAGCGCGCGTTCTCTCGTTACCTGGCCAAGGTGTCGTTCAAAGGTAACGTATCGTCGAAAATCGATGGAGCTAGTTGCGAACGGTAAAACGCGTCGCGTCCTTTCAGACGAGGCGGGAAACGGATTCGGGTTCGTGGAGGAGGTCGACGGGCCGCCGAGGTACTCGATCTTGAACTATCAACGCAGAGGAAACGGCTCGTATCGCTGGGTGGTGGTCGGGAATTACACGCGTAAGCGAAATTCTACGAGCGTATTGTTTGCCGAACGACTCTGGTTGTGCGCACTTGGGTTCGTACAGAGAACGAGCGAGGACGGGCCGTGCTGCGGCTGGATCGGGACAATCTCCGATTCCGGGGCGAACGGTACGCCGACTTTCCCGCCTCTTCGTGTTCCCGGCCTTGCGGCTCGAATCGCATCATGGTCAGGGTGAAGGAGGATCCTTGCTGCTGGAGGTGTCAGAGCTGCGGCCTCTACCGGTACAAGGTGGACGAGCAGAGGTGCGAGGAGTGCGAGTGGGGCAGTCGACCGAGCGAGAACGGGAGCAGCTGCGAGCCGATTCCCGAACAGTTCGTCGACTACTCGAATCCTTGGGCCGTCGTCGCGACGGCC